GTTACAGAGAGGGCCGAATGTTGGAGAAAGGACATGGGTGTGACAAGTGAGAAGAGGGGGCGGTGGCTGTGGGTGGACCAAAATTTGGGAGGAGCTTCAGTTGCTTTTGCTTCTTAACCACCAAATAGCATGCAATAAGACCTAAACAGTACTGGTGTCTCCATAGTCACGGTGAGCCGCGGTATTTGGAGAACCATTCAAACGAGAATAGCCACCTTCGTCTTCCATCTCTTTGTTCCAAGTTAGATTCTTCTAGATGAAAAGATTGCCTTAAAAGTGGAATCGACGTGATTTATCACTGTTAAATCTCAGCGGCACAAACACAAACATGCACAAACAGCACTTGAAACATTTCCGTCTATGAGGTGGGCCAGGCCGTAGTCGAGGAAAGTAGACGGCACCTAACAAAGATCCAAAGAGAGCACAAGTATCTGTGTCACAGGGGGAAAGTGTGTCGTAAACGTTCACCCCATTGTCAGTGCCAGGAGAGCGTGAGCCCCCAGTACAGTGTTCTTTTTTCCAGTCATCTACTTTTTACAAGAAGAGTTTTATTGCGGAAGGTGCGTTGGAATGGGCTCATCCCTTACTGAGCCCTAAAGACATTTGATTTGCTTTTAGGTTACTATAGTTATAAGAAACTTTCATTTACTTTGGGATAGAGCTGGGGTGGGGGCTCAAGCCCGTGAGCCCTTCACTACCCACCGCCACTGAGAAGGGGGGGGGGGCGTGGGGACAAAAGAGAGGGGTGTGAGGGGGCGAAGAGAGGGTGGATGGGGAGAGGGGAGGGAGATAAGTTGAACTGGAAGGACAACCGAGGGCAAAATGTGTGCGTGCGTGTGTGTGTATGTGTGTGTGTTTGTATGTGTGTGCGTGTGCGTATGCGTGTGTGTTTGTGTATTTGTGTGGGAGAGTGTGCGTGTTTGTGTGTGCACGCATGTGTGTATGTCACATGTGTGTGGAGAGGGAGGGGGAAGTCTGAGGGAGACGGGGCACGACTTTTCGGGGTAGTGGGGGATTAGTGGAGGTGGCAGG